CTTCGGTCGATGCAACAAAGACCTTTGCAGGCAACATCCCCTCGGGCAGTTGGAACACACAAATAACAAAACACTTGTACTCGCTTCACAGTCATGTAAGAGCAACTGTCATTGTTGTAACGAATGCCCAGGCCGAGATATTGCCGCCCAGTGACATCCTGTGTGAGTCCCAAAAGAGAGAACACAACAAGAAGGGTGCAATGGCAGAAGTCTTTTAGTGTTCAAGGTACAACAAATTTAGGGAAACCAACGTGTGTAAACGATTTCCATTGAGCCAATCAGATTTCCTTCTGAAATGGTGGCCGATCCCACTGGTTGTTTGGCTCAGTGGATGACAGAAGTTTGAAATCCAAATTATCGATCGATTGACGGTCTTTGTACGTTCGACCGTGCAGGCCGATCGATAGCCTGCTTGGGTGCGGCTATGCTTCGCAAGCTACCGCTTGCTAAGGCTGCTCGTTAGGCCGTCCTTACAGTCATCACCCCATACAACACTCAGTCGACGCTCTCAGGCCTGGCTGGACGCAGTCAGGACCAGCCCTGGTTTCGCCAGTGGCCACTGCCGCCTGAGACAGCAACAGGGAGTTCTGTATACAATAAACCACTCCTTCTGGTGCCTTCTGCCTTTTACCTCCAACCTAGGATTTGGCCTGATGATTGTAGAGATCCGAGTACACCCACTAATTAGACCCCTACAAGCCCACCCAGCACTAAAATTTACCTAGCAAAAGGAGGCGAACAATGTTATCGCTTTCCTAGATATCCTCCTACACAGACAAGAAGATGGTTCAATACAACACCGGATATTTAGAAAGAAAACCTGGACGGGGCAATATATTAATTTTCACAGTTTTATCCCCTTTAACCTCAAGCGAAACTTAGCCCAGGGAATGGCATCCAGAATACGACGCATCTGCTCTCTTGAAACAGTGGAAGTAGAATTGTTACAGCTACAGAACACACTCCAGGAGAAGGGTTATCCCGAAAGATTCATCTTTCGGAACATCAAGGAGTGTGTCAAAGAGGCTGCTGCTGGAACGGCTAAAAAGAAAGATTTATTAATAAGGCTGTCTTTTCTGGGAAACGCAGCAAGCGAACTGATGAGGCGACGTCTAAGGGTAGCAGTCACGGGTGCCTTTCCAGCGGCCAACCTACGCGCATTCTTCCCCAAACCTCCCTTCTACGGATGGGGGTAAAGACGGACTGCATTTGCAGGCCACATCCATGTGCATTCAGTCCTTCGCCTGCTCCTGTAGGACGGGATATATTGGCCGAACAACGCGACGTCTGGAGAAGAGGGTATGCGAACACATACCAGCCTTGCTCGCCAGAGGAGAAAATCGATTGATTTCAAGTTCAATCCTCGCACAATTGCTTAATACAAATCACAATGTTGACGCAAGAGAGGCCTTTCAAATTATATATCAGGCTCCGACATAATAGTCTTAAGGCCTGCGTAAACGGGTGCTTGCCACAGCCGAAGCAAAGCCCACTCTCTGCTGGCGAAAGACGCTTGCAGCAGTTTGCATAACTTGGTCGAATATACGAGTGAATTCGATGTCACCCGAACCCACGCCAGCCGTGAGAACATCGCTCCCCCTTCTTCCCTCCTTGCCGGACCCAAAGTCCTCAACACGCTGAAGCCAGCATGCATGAGACGAGGTAATGCCGAGCTTACTAATTAGCCCCTCCCCACCCTACTCCAAGGATCACATAAATACTGCATATAACTGAAGGTTTTATTCTCCGGGTCCTTGTACTGGTCTGAAGATGAATGACTGAAAACAACTGTTTGTCAAGACAACTTTCCATTCCGGGTGATTTATAAGGTCCCATGGAAGTATCCCCAAGTCACTGGGTCAGCGTCTCTTGACAACAAGAGGACTACCACCGTCAGGTTGGAGAAACCGGTATTGTGCGCCAAAGTGACGCACTTCACTGTAGGTACTCCTCCACACCCTCTCTCTCTCCCTCCTCTCTCTGTCTTCCCCTTTGACCGGCTCCACCAACCCTCTCTGTGGCCTAATACACATTCATTTGGTGATCGTAGGTCCTAAGTGTGGAGGGAGAAGAGATGAGGGGATAATATAGACCCTTGGAGAACTCCACGTTTTTTGGAAAGGACCGTGGATTTTCGCTTGCCGCGCTGAAATAATTGAGTGCGGGAAGGGAGATAGTTCCCAAGCCAAGAGACAGCCCAGCCAGCACAGCCACATGCAGAAGTTTTATTAATTAGAAGATGGTACGGGATGGTATAAAAGGCTGAGGGATAGTCGAGAAAAGCACATCCGTATGCACGGCAGCCCTTATATAAATCTCTTAGAGCAGAGTGGACTACCAGAGCAACAGCGTCTAGTCTACTACGCCTAGCCTTATACGCAA